AAAGTACCAGGAATCTTAATATCGTGAGCAGTGGTTATGTCTCGAAATAAGCTGATTAAAGTGCTTTGTTTAAGTGGGCCAATGTGACGCCATTTATCTTTTGCTGTGTCTGGGGTAAGCGTTGCGGTTCTCTCGTCCTGTGATTGTTTATGACATATTCACAAGTAATTCGGCGTCCGTTTTGTGTCTGATACTTCTTTTTTTTCCAAGTTATGCCATTTAGGGTATTCGTTGTGCTTATTAAGGTGTACTAACATATGTATGAGTATAATTTCACTTATGATTTTGCGAACAACGTTGAAAGTACAAATATTTGCTGTCGTTGAGTAGTTATTCGTTGCTATGAAGCGTAAGTATTACGGCTTTCACGGAAGCACTATATACAAGCGGCTCTTGCGCCAGAGGCGGGCATATTATGCTGCTATGGAGGAGCAACCCGTCGCATCAACGTCTTTGGTTGCAAATGAGTCACCGGAATTGCAAATACCCGAACTAATGCCGGAAGTTTCAACGGGTAGGAATTGTATGTGCCTTATTTACTGGAATACATAGAACTGCCTGTAGTGGTTGGGACAATGGACACAGTGGAAGGCAGATGCTTGACGACGGATTTGCGCGAATTCTGTTTGAGAGCGAAATTGTCGTTGACCACAGCAAAGGATTTGTTTCAGGTGCTGCGGCACTATCATCCGGAGCTACCCAATGACCCAAGGACGCTACTGCAGACGCCTCGAACTTGTGTTAGCTAGTCCCTGAAGAGAGGAAAATACGTTCACCTGGGTCTCGAACGCGGCCTACTCGACGAATTGCGCCTTTGCCCACTAACGGGCATTCCTGAAGTTCACGTTCAACTGCACATTGATGAAATGAAAGTCTTTGAAGGGTCTGCTCAGTGCTTGTGGCCGATCCTTGCTCGTGTTAACCATCCCGTTGTTGGGCAGCCCTTTTTCGTTGGAGTGTTCTGCGGTTTTGGTAAGCCCGAACCGTTGGAAGACTTTCTGGGCGATTGTGTTAGTGAACTGAAGAGCCTTCTCACCACGGGCCTGCGCGATCCACATACGGAAAGTGTCATCAAAAAGGATTTGCTCAATGTGATTTACGACACCCCAGCCCGCTGTTATGTACGACAGGTGAAGGCCCACAATGGCTACTATGGATGCGACAGGTACGCTATTTTGTATTTGCAATCGTAACTGCTGTAGATGCTGTCACAAATGGAAACATATTGCGAATCGCATGACATTCCCGCAGTACAGTGGCCGTCTGCGTGATGACAGGTCGTTTAGGTAGCGATGTCAGTGACTGCATCATAAGGGCAGATCTCCCTTCGAGGATTTGCCCATCGACATGGTTTCCTGTTTCCCAATTGACTACATGCACCAAGTATGCCTCGGTGTTATGCGAAAATTGTTGCATACTTGGCGACTTGGTTTTGGTGGCCACTCTGTGTCATTAAGCACATCTATTAAGCTGTGCAGCCACTGTTTACCGACAGAGTTTTCACGCAAGTGTAGAACTCTTGACTTCCTGGAGTTTTGGAAGGCTGCCGAATATCGGCAATTCCTCCTGTACATCGGCCCCGTTGTTTTGTCCCCGTATTTAGACGGACCCCGTTATAATCAATTTTTACAGTTTTCCGTGGCAATGTACATATTTTGCCACCCAACCTTGCACATATCTTGTGGTTTTTATGGCCGCCAACTTTTGTGTAATTTTGTCTATAATTTTTCAACATTTTATAAGCCATCTGATCTTGTTTACAGTGTCCATTCTCTACTCCACTTGCACGCTGACGTCGTTCGGTTTGGGGTGCTGACTAATTTTTCAGCATTTCCATTTGATTCTTTTTAACGACACGTTCGTGGTAGCATAAAAGGGCCCATTAACATAGCCGCACAAGTGTACAGGCGTTTTTCGGAAAGACGGTTGTCTGAACAGTCTACACGACCTATGCTGTTGGACGACGATGAGGGAGTGCAACGGCCCTTTAAACTGCCCCGTCAATCAACGGCTATCTTGCACAACGGATATGTACTTTCCACTGAGCCACCCGACAATGTCGTACTCATCGGACATAGACCCTGTGCACTGACATCACTGTCGGGTAACAGCATAGTTTACTGGCCTTTCCGCGACTGTCAGGATCTTTTTGTAACGTCCCTTCATTCTTCTTACATATACATTTTAAAGCCACAGTTTTATCAGACACTCCGATAACTGGCTTACTCTCCGACAGTATTTGCAAGTACGTGTCCTTTAAAAACAACAACCAGTATTACCTTATCCTCCTCCTTCACACAACTACATTCCCGCGATTTATATTCCCCTGTCTGCTTTTTTACATATGTATTTCTGCATTGTACGACTTACGATGCAACATACATTTGCTACAGATGTATTCCGTGGTGGAATTTTTCAACGACAAATCTGTGGCAGTAGTGGCTGAAGCCTGGCTCTACAACGCGGGCAGCGTACTATGGCCTAAAAAGCACAGGCAGCGCAGCATTTTGCTGGAGAATAACCAGCGGCCACCGGATGGTACTAAGGCGTACGCCGTCAAGGTTCTAAGAAGTGGTCTAACGCTGCAAAAAGCTCGACAGGCGGCGCGGAGAGTTGAGAATACTGACAATCTCTCCAGTTCCGAGCCCCGCCAGTTGGGTAGGGGCAAGAGGATCAGGTGTGCTACCATGTTATGTACCACTAATTTTTCTTTGCAGACATATTCGCAAACTAACCTCAGACTCCGACGACGAGGACTGTTATGACCCGCCTGGTACGTGAAACCCCGTGGAGCGTATACGCATTCGACCCTGGTCCCCAATATCAAGGCAGCAGACAAAGAACACACGGCTGGCCACGGAAAGTGTATTAGCAAAAAACTGCAAGTCGCGACTAGCTAAAGGTGACGCATATTTATAACACGCTATTGTGGTTCGCCGGCATTCGGCCAATGACCTTCGGGAAGAGGGGGAGTAGCCAATGAGAAGGCGCCTGATTGAGATGACAGAGCTGTAGAGAGAGAGCAAACGCACGTGATCTCCAGTGATTGGCTGGCTCTTGTTTTTGGGAGTGTAGGCACTCCCAACACCTCCCCTCCAAGTGGGTCAGTATCGCTTTTGGCGTGGATTGATCTGCATCGGCAGTGTTGAGCGGCGCACGCGGTTGGTCCGGCGTCTTAGTTGTGGTTTGTTGTCTGGAGACCCGGGGGCAGTGACTGATACCGAAGGCGGTACATCCGAAGGAGGCGCAGCAGTGGGCTCGGGAACCGACCGGTCTGCCGGAATGGCGAAGGTATCCGGTAAAATGTCAAGGGGGAGTGACGGCGCCGACTCGTGCCTAGTTGTGTTACTGCAATGTCGCCGTCGGATCTGGTTGCAGTGACGAACCCAGATGTCATCACCAACGTCGACGTCAAACAACATACTGCCTCTGTGCGCTACTACGGTTGCTTCAATCCAGTCAGGGAACTCCGCTCGATAATCACGAATGAAGACAGGTGTTCCGATGGAGAGCTTGCTGCGAGAGACTGGAGAAGTCTGTGCGGGCTGCGCACCGGTAGGGACGAGGGCATGAAAAGTTGTACTCAGTTTCCGGCCCATCAACGCTTCGGTAGAAGAAACGCCACCAGGGGACGCCGGGTTCGGTGTTGTCCTGTAGGAAAACAGGAATGCCTGGACTATCTCGTCCGTGGTCCCCTCCCCACGAGCTTTCAAGAGGACTCTCTTAAACGTGTCGACAAAACGCTCCGCCTGACCGTTAGACTGAGGATGGTAGGGCGGGGAGCGAAGATGCTGAATGTTGTGCTGCCGGCAGAAATCCTCAAACGACGACGAAGTAAACTGAGAGCCATTATCTGAAACCAGGACTTCTGGTAAGCCATGTTGGCTAAAGATGCGTCGTAGGAAGGCGATAGTGGAAGATGAGGTTGCTGGATTCAGCGGAGCAATCTCGGGCCATTTCGAGTAGGCGTCAACCAAGATTAGGTAGGAGACTTCGTTAAGTGGGCCAGCGAAGTCGATGTGCACGCGTGACCAAGGCCTCTCTGGTGGTTCCCAGGGTACTGGCGATTGACGAGGCGGCATCTTGGCAGCTTGCTGACATCGAGAACAGCGTCGAACCAGGTCGTTGATGTCGCCGTCGATACCCGGCCAGTAGGCAAAACTGCGAGCAATAGACTTCATTCGGCTGGCACCAGGATGAGCCGCATTAAACTGGCATAGTACAGTGGGTCGGAGGGAAGATGGAATCACCCCACGGTCTGCAAACATGAGGCAGGAATCAACCACAGATAGCGATGCTCGGCGGAGGAAGAGCTGGCGAAGATCGCCAGCGAGAGCAGTGGTTGGCCAGCGGGTCTGCACGGTGGTGATGGCCTGGCGGTGGACAGGATCCTGCTCAGTAGCACGTCGGATGTCCGCGACAGTGACGGGGATACCTCGTATGGCGTCTGATAGCTGACGGCGCACATCGCCCTCAATCGAAATAGCTGCAATCACGGTATCTTCCTCCGGTTCCTGCTGATTACTGATGAGGCGAGAAAGGGCGTCAGCCTGACCAAAGTCTGTAGTACGACAGTAGCGAATGTCGAAATCGTAGCCAAGAAGGATGGTTGCCCATCGCTGAAGTCGGCTGGCTGGGTAGACGGGAATGCCCTTCTTCGAACCGAAGATTGACAGCATTGGTTTGTGATCCGTCAACAACGTGAAGTGGCGACCGTACAACAGTTTGTGAAATTTCTTGACGGCAAACACGAGGGCTAGGGCCTCTTTCTTTATTTGCCCGTAGTTCTTCTCCGCAGGGGTTAGCGTGCGAGATGCATGCATGATCGCCTTTTCAGACCCAACAGGAAACGTGTGTGAGATGACGGCACCAACTCCGTGGTTGGAAGCATCTGCAGCAACAGCGATCGGCAGCGTCGGGTCGTAGTGCGTGAGCAGCAGATCTGAACTCAGCATCGAATTTAGCTGGGCGAAGGCCTTTTCACGGTCGGGGGACCAGCATCAAGGAGCATCCTTCTGCAACAGACGGTTGAGCGGGGCCCGTACGTCATGCAGCGATGGTAGGAAGGCGCTATAGTAACTGATCAGGCCAAGGAACGAACGAAGTTGCGATACATTCTTGGGTGCAGGCATCCGTTGGATGGCCCGAATGTTTTCAGGATCTGGATGGCGACCAGTGACATCAAAAACGAATCCGAGGTACTTGATGGAGTCAATGAAGAATTGGCACTTCTCGGCCCGTAGGCGAAAGCCATATTCCTGCACGCGTCCGAGTACTGCGCACACTCGGTCTTGCAGCTCGGCAGGGGAGCGACCCACGATGATGATGTCGTCCAGGTACCCAGCTGTGCCAGGGATGCCGGAGAGCATTGCATTCATCGTTTGTTGGAATAGGGCCGGGGCGGTCTTGAAACCAAAGGGCAGCCTGGTGTATTGGAACAGACCGCGGTGGGTATTGATGGTCAACAATTCGCGCTACTCTGGGGCGACCTCAATCTGCAGGTACGCATCAGCGAGATCCAACTTGGCAAAGCAAGTGCCATCATTCAGCAGGGTGAAAAGATTAGCCGGAACCGGTAATGGATAGCAGTTTGGCGTCAGCGCGGCATTGAGACCGGTGGAGAAGTCAGCACAAATGCGGACTGAGCCATTGGGCTTCTTAACCACAACGATTGGAGCGGCCCAGGCGGAGTAGGATACAGGAACCAGAACTCCCAGTTCCTTTAGACGTTTCAGTTCGGCCTCGACAAGTGGTAGGGCTGCATATGGGACTGGTCGCTTTGGAAGGAAGACCGGTTGACTTCCAGGAGACAGATGTAGCACGGCTTGAGTGTATGTGCAACGGCCCAGGCCGTCTTGGAACACTGGAGCAAACCGTTGGAGAATGTCCTTGGCTTGGTCTGCAAGCACAGCGGGAATCTGCACCTGACTGCAAACAATGCGGAGCGGCATATCGGCCAACCCAAGTTGTTCAATCCAGTCGAGACCAAGTAGGTTTAGATCAGACTTGGTGATGTAGCAGATCGCAGTGATGCTGGTACCGCTGAACGACACACAGCATTGCAGCTGCCCAATTAGCTGTACGAGACCACCGCACGCGCTTGTGGCGGACTGGGAAGTCTGCTGCATCGTTGGGCTGCCAAGGGACTGCCAGAGTCTCTCAGAGATGATGGTGATATCTGAGGCAGTGTCCAGCTGTAGACGAACTGCATGGCCATTGAGCAAGATATCAACAAACTTTCTACGACCAGACGCATTGAGCTGGAAAGCGGCCAAGAGACTGAGAGAATTACCAACGGACTGGGGTTTGGGCTTGCGTTTTGACCGGAAACGGTGCCTGGGATTAGGAGTGGCGGGGGCTGGCTTGCCTCCAGAAGCTGGTACTGATTTGCAGAACCCATCACGGTGACCCACCTGATTACAGCTTTGGCAGCGATGCTGGCGGAAAGTGCGATCCCGGTGGAAATGCCACGCGCCACAGTGCCGACAAGGAGATGGCGGAGATCTCGACTTGGAAACGCCCACACTCATGATTAACAATGCCCGCATAAGTGATGAAGTCATCGGAATCTCGTTTGCACAGTTGCAGGCACTGAAATCGAGAGTTGAAAAGGGATGATTGTTCACCAAAAATCTGCGACAACGTCTGAACCGTGTCCTTGAAAGTGACTTCTCGGGGATTCTTGGGGAGGATGAAGTTTGCATAACGCTCGTGTTCGGCCGGACCCAGTTTGCGAAGTAGGAGTCGAACCTTCCATGCATCGTCCTGGGCAGCCAGGTCGACAGAGAACAAGTCCTCGTATCGCTTGTGCCAGGAATCAAAGGTGATATGGGCCTGCGGGTCATACAAGAACTCAGTGATGCTGCCGGCAATGTGATCAACAGATTGCGAAAAACCTGCCGTGCTTGATTGACCCATGGACCAGTCGGACAGCTTAACGGTGAGTGCCTCCATTAGCTTCAGCTGCTGCTGCAACATCTGCTTCAAGTCTGCGTACTCGTCAGCCATTGTGGTTGAAAAACTGCGTCGCCAATTTGTTATGACCCGCCTGGTACGTGAAACCCCGTGGAGCGTATACGCATTCGACCCTGGTCCCCAATATCAAGGCAGCAGACAAAGAACACACGGCTGGCCACGGAAAGTGTATTAGCAAAAAACTGCAAGTCGCGACTAGCTAAAGGTGACGCATATTTATAACACGCTATTGTGGTTCGCCGGCATTCGGCCAATGACCTTCGGGAAGAGGGGGAGTAGCCAATGAGAAGGCGCCTGATTGAGATGACAGAGCTGTAGAGAGAGAGCAAACGCACGTGATCTCTAGTGATTGCTTGGCTCTTGTTTTTGGGAGTGTAGGCATTCCAAAAAGGGCTCGCCAAACTAACCGAAAGAGCCAACTGGTTGGCCGGCGCTGCCGCCAATACTACAGTAAGTATGACTATTGTAGACATTTCGTAGGCCAAGAACGGATGAGAATGTGCCACACTTGTTTTCCTCTGAGTCCATTGGACCCAGTCAGTCAACACCACTGTCCTCACTTGAGTAGACAACGCTTATCATTTATTACTTTAGACACTCCACGACAATTTCTTCATGTGTTTCCACGGCCACAATTTCGACGGAATTTAGCCAGCAGGTGCAAAAGTACATGTCTGACATAAAAGGTCAGTTAGTAAACACAAATGTCCGGCTAGCGGCACTTGAGTAAGACTGTGAACAATCTCCCTAACAAACTATTAGGAAAAGGAACGATTTCCTAGCTGAACAACTTATGGCTCTTTATAGCAGTGCGCAGCAGATCCAGGCAACACTATCAGATGTTGTAACTGCATTGCAGAGAGCCTCCAGCGCCGGTTCTGTCACATCCTCCTCCCTAAATTTACCGCTGTGTACCGCTTTCTTCGTCGGCTTAGCGTAGACGACGGTTTTGCAAACGAGGCGGTATGTGCACATCTACTTGACTGTTTTCAGATCCGGCAACTGGCCATGGTAGGTGGTCGAAATGAGGCAGAGTTCCTCAGAAACCTACTGACGGTTCTATTGGGCCCGCCCTTATGCCACAACTTCTGTTGGGTGGGCGGATCCAAGGAGAAGAAGTCCTTCATGGCCTGTCCACTTTTTGCTGTCCTTAAAGGTAAGTCCAAGTTTTGTTTATTTTCACGCGCAGATGTCATTGCCCAACATCGCCGTTTTGGCAAATGCACTATGGAGATATTTCAACGGACAGTAATCAGGTGGTTTCATGGATCACAGGACCGGTACGGAGGAAGATCGACACGTCGGCAGAACATTCGTCAGGTACAAACTTTCGGGATTTTCATCCACATTTATTTAGACTACAGAAATCACCATACCTGCCGCCACATGCCCACAATTATCCCCCGCCAAAGAACCGGTAAGCAACTTTATCGAATTGCCAATCCTACATAGCATGCTATTTACTTCATGTGATTTTTACTATTAAAATCGTACGTATTGGATACAGTGTATCATCACTTCCGTTGCGCCTGCATTACGTATGTCTTACGAAAGTTTTTTTTTGTGCAGGAACTACCAATGTCCAGTGAAAGTGACTTCTCATCCTGGATACGAAGGTCGCTGAAACCCCCATGATCCATGACAGACTTTGTACATTTACATTTTTTGACTTACGTATTCAATAAATCGTCCTTCCACAATACCGCCTTCCGACTTTACCATCTTCGGTATCCGCATTTCCCCTGTAGTGGACCACTTACCGCCGTAGCCTATCTTGCTTGGGACGTGGAGGTTCGCTGTGACTCGTTTCGGGGTTTTACGTTAGGCGACCGTTTGTCATGGTTGGCGTTTACGGCCAAAATATCGAGGCCGCGAGGAATGGAGAAAAACGAGAAAAAGCCCGCACGCAAAATTTTTTTCAAGGTGTGACCAAGTGTGGCCAATGTGTTGATGGCCACACCATAACCACACCATTTGGCCACACCATATTTGCCTCGGCCAAGTGCGGCCAAGTGCGGCTGGTGTATAGAATTTCAGTAGCCATTTTAAACTTCACGCTGGGAGAGCAAGCAAATCAGTACCGGTTTGCTCCAGGCAATGTTGGGCCGTAGATTTAATGAATGAATATGCGCATTTAAAGCCATCAGCATAAATAAGAGATTGGGAATGTTTTACTGCCGTCAAAATATTAATCTAACGCGGAAACAAGAAGGGCCCTAAAACGCTACCTTAAAGGACATCATTAGCAATAGAGCTCTCATTGGAAAAGGAAGATCCCACTAAAACCATTTGTTTTTGTGTTAATAAAGTCAATAAGGGGACTACAGATTCTCAAAGCTTCTGATTTAACTGAGTCATCTGTGGGGCACTTTGTCAAGGACTATACTAAGACCAAATAAATAACGACTACAGACAAATGATCATGAGGTAGAGAAGAAAGTAGGTTGAGAAATGACATGTGACACGCTGCACAAGAGCGATCAGGTAAAAACCATGTTGAAAAGATTTGATAACTTGATTGGCTAAACAGAAGTCAGTAAATTTCTTAGTAAAAGTGTTGCTAAAGATTTTGCAGAGAGAAGATGTTTTGTGGACACCTCGATAGTTTTAACATCAGAACGACAGCCAGATTTAAATACTGGGATAATAATAGAAGTTCTCCAATACTCGAGATTGATTCCTAGGGAAATCTTGCTTGAACGGTCAGCTTAACGCGACAGATCTGCCGAATCCCTTAAGCTGCAGCAGGCTGGGCGGGTAATATGATCCAAATGTGATGAAATCTATGGCTTCTGATGAGCCCAAATCCCACCAAGGCAGCCGAGCTTTACATCGTGGGGTCGAATGAATTGTTCAAATCTACCAACTAATTCTGTCATTGCAAATATCGAAAAATTTACTGGTGGTCCCAACCCACACCATTTAGGCGAATCAGAAATAAGTAAATACCGCGTGTTATAAAATAATTACTCTCGAAAACATTAGTGACCTTGAACGAACCAATAGGTTAAGGATGATCCGGGAGCAGGAGATATTTTGCCTCCGCAAACTGGGCAGAAGTAAAAGGAGTATGATAAATCCTATAAAAGGGCGCCTAACCTGACAGGCTATGATCATATGTATTGCTATTATCTTCGTTGAGTAATGAAGTGTACTACCGCTGCATGCTGTATCATGTCGAAGACCTGAACAATATTTCCTGTATTAGTGGACATCCATCCATCTACCGTCAATCTAGGCAATCCGTTCATGTAACTTATTGTTAGCGGGCATTCCTGAGGGCAGTTGCCCAATTCATACTGAACTCTGCTTCCGAAAAGTCCGATAAGGTGAAATTCGAGGGCTCCAATTAGTCCTCAGATTTTGCCGCCTATCCAGTTCTTCCCTCTGCGTTTCCCACTTTCTCCCAAGGAATCCCGTAAAAGGTTTACATGGAGTTTAAACCTAATATTCATGTGGTATGGAGTTCAGATTAAATGATGGAATATTAAAGGCCATGTAAAGATTGAATCTGTTGCAGTATAAAAATAGGATATTCTGCTACTCCTTTGTTACCAGAGTGCACATGAAAGGTTACCTGTTGGCTGTTAAACGGTAGTGTACAGTAACATATGACCTGTCCACTTAAGGCATGTGTGACGCTCAACTACATTCTGTGCCATACCATTACTGCGTCTAGTCCAAATTTGAATGGGCTGAGAGGAGACGGAGGTATGGCAGGAATACAGACCATACCCGATATAGAAGTCAGCAACTCGCACAAAATCTGCATGAAATAACAAAAATTACGTGTTTTGTGTCTGGCATTTTATCAAGAAATTCACGATGACATATTCTTTCTGTATCTCTCTGTTGACCGCGTTTTGAGTGCGTATGTCGGTGCGTTACCTTACTTTATTGAACCGAGGATGGTCGGTGTCGTGCTTTCGATTTCACACGTTTGTATGGGATTTTTTATATATCGCCGTTTTATATGCATACGGACTATTTAAACAATTATCGACTTGAAGACTTCGGTAACATCAAGGTTGATGTGGTTTACCTGGCGCCCAGCTGTGGATGCGCTCGTTCATCAATTATGCCTAATACATCAGAGGAGAAAGAAAGTTTCCTAACTCACAGAAAAAAGACACAAGCCGGAAATCAACAAAAAACCGTGAAGGGTAGGATTAATGAACTAAAAAATTACGAATGTAGCGTCGCCTGCTGTGGACGGCTTGGTAAATTCCCTTGTCACTCTTTAACTCTTTAGCCCGGAAAATATCATGCCTCCTTACACTTTACGTTTTACTTTTCCTTTTTCTGACTGCGCTTATAATAATTGT